ATATTAAATTGAAGATGAAATAATTAGGAAAAGTTAGATCGATAACAGATATTATACTTATAGTTATACTATGTCGTTTTGACTGTCGCTTTGTATTTTAATTTAATATAGCTTTTGAATGTAATCACATACATATTTTTCATATCAAAGTACAAAACATATGGGTAAAGTTGAATTTTAGTACATAGTTACATGTAACATGTATAAATATGTACATAAAGTGGACTTCAGAAAATACTGATTCACTTACATATATTTTTTAATTTTAAATTTTTTATTTACTTATTTTTTTCATTTCTGTAGATAAAATTAAATATCAAAAAATCTGATGTGGTCAGCACATAACCGACCGCAATGTGTATTGTCTAGTTATGTGAAAGTGTTACAGATTATTATAAAAATATCTGTTAAATACTTCTTTCTATTTTTAGGACATTAGTAGTTAACTTAGTTAACATACCTAGAAAAATGTAAATTTGGCTCATAGTAGAGTTTCACTTTGTGCTACCCGAATTCCGTGAAATGCTTGCCAGTTAGTTTCGGTAACAACCAGAACTTAAAAATCAAATGTCAAGAAATTCCATCCATTCGTTCCGTAGATATGGTAAAAAATGTAAAATCGGTCCGCAGATCAGTTTTCGAGCCCTGATCTTTCCAAAAAATTTATATGTTCATTGTTTTAGTACGAAGAATTTAAATATTAAATTTCAATGAAATCGGTTAATTATTTCTCTTTACCGGTAAAAAGATATAATAGTTATTCAATTTTTTACAACCTTGGAAAAAATTACTGGAGGTTATTGTTTCCCTTATTGCGTTAATGTTGTTGAAAACATCAAGAAAAAAAATGCACTGCAATAAATTATTTCATGATAGTAATAAATCGAGTTTTAGGATTGTAAATACAAAGGAAAAATGGACTTTATTTGGAAGAAAAATCAGATTAGAATTGTTTTTCTTATGTACAAATTACGCCAAAAAAAGAAATTTAACACAGTAGTAAAAGTTAAAAAAAAATCAATTATTGCTGAATATAAAATAATTATGTAAAAAACAAACATGAAATAAACAAAATCCAAATATTTTCCAAAAAATTCATATCAATTCGAAAATAAAAAGAAAAGCAAAAAATATTGAAGAATGGCTAAAGTAAAATTAAGTTTCTTCAATTATTATCATCTTTTGAAAAAGCAGTCTCTTCGAGTTGATTCAATTTTATAATTCATTTACGAGTTTCTCTAAAGTTCACATTTAATAATTATAATAATTTTTATCTTTAAAGTTCACATAATTTCACGGGTGAACTTAGCTTTCTGTGGGTATAAATAAATCTATACTCGTATACTATAGTGTGAACTAAAAAATAGAAATTAAAAATGAAAAAAAACACCAATGAATTTTAGTACGACTGTTTTCTCCTCTTATTTCTCACAGCAAAAAAAAATTACACCTCTATCAACACATTAAGTTAGGACTTTCGGCTGCAAAATTTTTTTATTATTAAAACAAAGATCAGCGTCTATTTGCGTCTATTAGTAGGTAATTAAATATTTCGTTTAACAATTTGCATAATTTATATTAGTTTTAAAATGAAGCTCGTCAGAATAGTTTGCTTCTTAGCATTTTCCAATACATTTGTAGGTAAGAATATAACTTTATTCTATATGTCCGTCCATTTCTCTACTCATTAAATTTCTAAACTTATACAATCGGGTCCAAAAAAAAGTCTAAGGAACAACCGGCGAAATAAATCTCTAACTATTATAAGACTTTTTGAATATACAGTGCTTAATATTACTATTTAGTTAATTTTTCTTATGTAGGTAGTACTCCTTTATACAAAGTATAGGATCACTTGATATTCAATTGATTTGATTCCAATATGTAAACAAAATGGTAGCTAAAAGACCTGTCATCTTTGTTTTTAATATTCATATTTTTGTGAACCTATCATTTACACGACCTAAAAAATGACACGACTTTAAAATTGAAACAAGATACTGGGTAACAAGATTGACCTTATTGAGATACATCTATAATTAGGCGTAACGTTTTGGATTTTATCTACAAAATTTGAAATAATCTTAAAAATTTATTACCGACCGTATTGTGTAAACAATAGGTAGGCTATGTGATGGCAACAAATTTTGCATATCGAGTTTTCGGTGGGAACGTACTTCTCCATAGTAGGGAAGTGTAAATAAACTATTTTTAGCAATCTGTCGGTCTGTGTGTGCACGCGTGTATATCAAATTCGGCTGAACCGATTTTGATGAAATTTTATATGTAAGTTTATTTCCACCATGGCACGGATTGATCAACTTTTGGTATATATCAGGCCTCGGGAACTGCACTTTTTGGCGGGCCTGTTTTATATTTTTGAACATTTTGAAGAAAATATTCAACCGATTTACTTGAAAATTTATATATAAGCTCAGCTCGACCGTCCGCGAAAATTTCTATGTTTTGGAAGAAATCAGGCTTCGGCAACTAGACGTTTACTACGGGCCAAATATACATTTTTGTGTATATAAAGAGAAATAATCAACCGATTTCATTGAAATTTAATATATGAATTACTCGTATTAAAACAATGAACATGTTAATTTTTTGGATCAGGGCTCGAAAACTGATCTGCGGGCCGATTTTACATTTTTCACGAATTGATGGAATTTCTTGAAATTTGATATTTGAGTTCTGGTTGTTACCGAAACTAACCGGCGAGCATTTCAGGGAACTCGGATAGCACAAAGCGAAACTCTATTAAGAGCCAAATTTACTTTTTTCTAGGTATGTTAACTATAAGCTTACTAATATCCTCAAAATTGGAAAGAAGTATTTAACAGACATTTTTATAATATTCTGTAACACTTTCATTTAACTAGACAATACACAAAGCGGTCGGTTATGTGCTGACCACATCAGATTTTTTTTTTATGATTTTTTGAAAAAAATTAATAAATTTATATTTCAAATTTATATTTCAAAAGTAATTTTTAAGCATAGAAATTATAATCTTTGTCTTACTTTTACAAAATTATTACGAAATCTATATCATGTTTTTGCTTAAAAATTCTGCTTCAAATAAATCTTAATTGAAAAGCACGAACTTTAAAAAAAAATGTTTTAGAAAAAAAACTCAACAAAAAAATCGAATAAATGTGTCTAACTTTAGTGATAAGATAGCGTGTAATTGATTGCAAAAGTTTTATTGCAAACTAAAAATAGAAGGAAATTATATAAAATTCAAGGTTAAAGTTTCAAAAATATAAAAAAAGGTATTTTATTTTTTAAAATCAATCATTTTATTTTAAAGTCAAATATTTAGACTAAGATGTAATATTTAAATGTATCGATCGAATTTTTATAATTATTTTTTTTAACACCAAAATTATTTTTAATTCAAAATCTGTTTCATACAATATTCAATTGTATATACATATACATATTTGTCTTTAGTGAATTTAGTGAATGAAACTAACTTTAGAAAATGTTATATACATATTTTCCAGAGGTTATTTTCCATGAATATTAAGAATAAAAATTCTGTTTCCCACCTTTTAATTGTCAGGCACTGATGGCTAAGTATCATATATTCGTATATATGTATAACGAATTTTGAATGACAAGAATTTTTTCGTAACGCGTATCTGCTTTCACCTTTGATCTATTTTGTTTGTGAAGAGCTTAATGCAAAATAAAAAAAAAAATATAATCATTTTCGTCGACATCTTTATGAGTGGGCGGTAAAATAAAATCAGTTTTCGAACCGACGCGTGAGTGGCTAAGTCGTGGTGCTACTCTTGTTGTATCAGTTATTTGACCATGTAAAAAAGAAAGGGGAAGCGGGTTGCAGATATACTCACTTTCGAGATACCTGTTGAAAAAACAAGATAAAGATTTCTCCTGCATATAAGTAAATGCTTATTGCTTCGGAACCATCCAACATAGAGCAACCATCGGAAGCTCGTTTTACAGGCGATTGATTGCTCTTTACTTTTGATCTTACAACCAATTTCTGAGCCACAGTTTCGAGATAAAACTCGAAGAAGTCAGAAAGTTTCTCAAAAATTTTTATTTTTTTTTTGGACGCGCTACGATGAAAGATAAAAATTAATCCATATATCATTTTCCTCTATCTCTCATAGTTTTGCCAGTGAAAAGCGTTGAATGTGTTTTACAATTTTTTGCTGGAAACTGATCAAAGAGTCATCCCTGAAATTATTTGCCTTCATTATTTATGCGAAACACCCTGTATATATATTGGGATTTAATAATTTTCAAATATAGGTACCTTTTATTATAACAAATACCTTGATCAAAAAATCATAGCTAAACATACATGCGTAATATTTAAATGAGCAATAATATATAGATCATAGAGTAGCTATCGATGGAATTGTAGTATCTATAACAGTAAAAGTTCTTTCACTATACCTACCACAATTAAGAAATTAATAAAAAGACAAATAAATAGAAGTTTATATTAAAGATTTCATGAGTTGCTTCAGGGCGAAATAATTCGTGTTAAAATTAACCACTCCTTTCAGCAACTACATATATATACCGAAATATAATTAAATTATTATTGAGGTTAAGTATAATTAATTACCGCATAGGCTCTTTCAATTCTGGCTTTAACCGAAAGTTGTAGTTTTATTTCCATATACCGTTCAAAATTTTAGCTCTTAAACTTTAAAACCTCCAGGGGATGATCCTATGAAGTTGCTGAATAATTATTCGGAATACTATGGCAGTTATTACTATTTATTACCTGACGTGTGATATAGCTTTATTCATTACAATTTTTTAACATTTCAAGGATAATACATACAAGGAAATTTATCGGGCGCTCGGTAAATAATTAATATTCGGTAAATAAATAAATATTTACGTAAAAAGTGCAAGTGTAAAATAGTTTTTAAAATTAATGTTAGAAAAGAATAATATATTGATTTTAAAAAATTATTTGCGAGATTAATTATTATCTGCTTACTTACCCATTATAAACACGGCATGTCGAGTTATTAATTCTTTGATCTGAAGCCCTACGCCTGCGATCTTCAAATAAATCTTTAATAGCAGTAACACCTAATACAAATAAAACTGGTATCATAGCAATTTCCTTTCCAAAAGCGTTAATTGCCGGAAACCAATTTAATAATACGATAAAAATAAAATACAAATTAGCAACACGATGAAATTGTTCTAACAAATTTTTCGGTATAAATGATAATAACGTATATTTTGTAGTACGAATTTTGTTTCCTACGTATAAACCATTAGGATGTTCACTTTTTGGTGTTTTCGGTGGCACTGTATGGTTTGGCACAACAATCCGGTAACCGCGTTCCTCGAATTTATCATTCTGACAAAGACCGAATCGTTTATACCACGGTGGTATTTCTGTGCGCCGTAACGTATAAATAGATTCAGAACGCGAAGCTTGTCTAGAATGACCGCGAGCTGATGATGCAGCTGACGAACCGAATTCACCAATACGATTTTCGTCGATATCTTTATGAGTTGGCGGCAAAATAAAATCAGTTTTCGAACCGACGCGTGTGTGGCCAGATCGTGGGGCTTGTGCTACTGTTGCTGTATCAGTAATTTGACCATGTGAAAATGCACGCTGATGTCCTTTCATTGCTGACTTAAGTGGTCTAGCTGCTGTCCCTCCTATTCCACTACTATTCGATCCTATAAACGTACCACCACCATGGCTAACTGATCTTGAATGACCTCGCGAAATGTGTTGTTGTTCAAGGGGTGTTAAAAAAGCATTTGGTGCTGGACCAAATGCATCACTTGGGCCAACACGACTGCTGTTACCTGCTGTTGTCGTAGCTGGTGGAAATATATAAAGGCGTTCGGGATCTGACGTGCCTATTACCGTTGTTGTCGTTGGTATATTTAATGGTGTTGCTCCAACTGAAAGTGCTGAAGTTAATGGTAAATGATGACGTGAATCGAGACCTGAACATATTTGATGATGTAATTGTTGTTTCAAAACTGATGATGGGTTTTGTTGTTGCTGGGGTTGTGTATGCGGTTGTGGTTGTTGTGTGGCCGCTACAAACTTCTTCCGCAAATCGTCGAGATTTGACATTTTGACAAGACAACATTTATCTTTTTTTAATTCACAGATTCTTAAAGTATAAAATTAAAAGCAATCGTAACGGAAAGAAAAAAAAAACTTATTTTGAACTTTTTGGTTGAAATTTTCTTTAAATTAGTTTTGCTTACGGTTACAATTTCCAATAAATTTTTATATCTTTTTGTATATTAAAATGAAAAAGTTGTAAATTCATGAAAACAAAAAGAAAAACTAAAATAAAATTTATAACATATTCAACTAAAAAAAAATTATCCTCCAGATATTTTAAACATTGTGGAAGTTAATTATGCTTTTCTATCAGAGCCAATTTTGGAATATTAATATCAATTCCCGTTCTAATTATAAATAAATTATCAGTGAAATTGAATCCAAAATATCTGTAAGAAAATAAAAAATAGAATTATTAAATTTTATTTATTAGATATTTTTTTTTTAATATACATATTTAATATTGTCAATTCAAAATTTGCGTTTTTTTTATAATCACGTAGTGTAGCACATATATGGTAGATTCTAACGGATTTCCTGTTCCAGAATTAATATAAATACGTATATAGAGAATTTGAGATATTTAATTAAGCGAATTTTTTTCTCCGATGGTATGATTAGTAAAGAGACTACTTTTATCAATTTAATAAAATTGTGTTTAAAAAGATGTTTGAAAACGAAACTTGAAATATTTTTATAGCCTTCATGACAACATTTTGTATGTTGCTGTAGATTAAATTAAAACACATCTCTCAAATTCAAATATTAATTCAAACGATGGGAAAATATTTTATCACCTCAACGTTTCTATTGGTATTGCAAAATAATTTACACTATTATAAATATTGACATTGCATACTTTCGCTATGTTAACTCAGACTCCAGGATTTTGTTATTTTTCGTTTATAATTATCTATGTTTCAATTGAACTTTGTATATATATATATAACTTTTATTAAAATTTATTTCGATGCGCGAAGCCAAAATGATTTTCAATTTTCTATACTTAAGTATAATTATACTAAAAAATCTGCTGTGGTCAGCACATAAGCAACCGCAATTTGTATTGAATAGTTAAATGAAAGTGTTACAGAATATTATTAAAATGCCTGCTAAATACTTCCTTTCAATTTTTGGGACGTTATTAAGCTTTTAGTTAACTTAGCTAGAAAAATGTAAATTTAGCTCTTAGTAGAGTTTAAATTTCAAGAAATTCTATCAATTCGTTCCGCAGACATCGTAAAAAATTTAAAACCGGCCCCTAGATCAGCTTCTGGGAGCTGATCTTTCCAAAAAATTTATAGATTAATTGTTTTAACACCTCGAATTTAAATATTAAATTAAATTCGATATATTATTAATTATTCGATAAATTAAATCCGATAAATTAAATATTTTGCGACAATTTAACATAAGAACCTTTTAGATAATTTGGAATGGCAGATACCACTTTTGATTATTTTTTTTAGTACCCAAAATAAATTATTTACATGTGTATGTATTTTTATTCGTGTTTGTATTTACTTTAAAAAATTAATATTTTTTAAGCTTTTTAAATTTTTTTTAATAATGTCAAAGATATAAAAATTTTAATCAAAATTGTTTGCATTTTTGTTTTTTAACCGAAGTACGTTTAAATATATTAGATATTTGCACTAATAGCAAAAAATCTAATTTAAATATTTATACAGGTGGTATGAAATTTACAGTAAATAAGTACATATCGAATTATTTGGAGTTTTACTAAAAAAAAGTAAAATGAAATTTTGATCAAAAAAGAACAAATTATTAAAATGTTATAAATTTGAAATACATACATACATATACATATATGTGATTACATACATACATAAACTTATTATGGTTAATTTATGAAAAGCGACTTAGAAACAGTAGGTAAATTTATCTATAATAAGTACTCCACTTTAATTAGAAATTATAGTTAAAGTTACAAAAAATAAAGTTGGATTAAACTAATTGTTTGTATTGTAGCACTTTTCTGTTCAATACGTGAAAATACTGCTTTTTAAAACGATCATTATTAAAATTATTTTCATACCAAAATATTTCAAGGATAGCATAACGTACATTTGCATACATTGCATATTTTTTAAAAACTTTTTTCTGCTTTGTTAGAAAACAAAAGGCTTCTCACTATAAAAATATAAACAAATACGAGTATTAAAATTACAGTTTTTAGTACACTTTATATAATGTTTGAAAAAGATTTTTTATATATTTCATTTTGCTCTTTTTACCGCTTTTTCAAAATTTGCAAAAAAGTTCATATTAGTTTCACTTTACGCGTCCGTCTTTACGTAAATCTTACTTTTGAGGATCAAAATTTTAACTCTAAAAGATTCAACACCTCAAATTCTAAAAATTGCCTTTAAATAAACAAAAACATTTTTTAAATTTTTCAAAGGTATAGTTGATATAGTAATCACAAAATGGCCGCAAAAATCAACCGTTATTCAAAATACTTTTTTAGTTTATATTCTAGATGGTAACGAGTCTGAAATTTTGGCAGCTTTTAGGTTCTAGTAAATAACTTATTTAGTTAGAAAAAATTTTTTTTCACCTCCATTCCCTCAAAATTTGTTATGCCATCAAAAAATACAATTATTTTTCTTAACTCGCGCAATTAAAATGCTATTGGTATGCAATCATTTGAAATATTTTTGTATAGGAATGAACGTAATTCAATCAATGTTGAAATGGATTGTTTTTAACAGCAGCGTGTTCGCTTGTTGAAGGGAAAAATGCTACTTTACAAACCATTAGTTTGGCATAATATTAGTCATTCGTGCTTACACAATGGGAAACTTATCTTTCCAAATTTTTACGCCCTCTTTTAAATTTTAAGCATTTTAATATTTTATCAACTTATTCTAATGATACAACAATACAAAAGAGGTAATTATGCATCTCGATATAACAATAGTACAAGACTATAGATTAAGGGAGGTTAACAGTTTGTCAAAGACTATGAATGACGACTTTATACATATTTTTATAGAAGTTATACATAGGCCGTTTTTGGCATCAGTGATATCTAATAAAATTTAATTTTTTTTTAAATTTTAATAGAAAATCCTAAAATTCAATACTTTACAGTTTTTATAGAATACACAAAGAATTATACAATTAAGTTAAAATAACGTTAAAAAATGAAGAAAAACATCATTTTTGTAATAAAAACAAAACTTGCGGTTTAACAATGTCTTTACTATTAAATCAAATTAACACTTTTGACTACACCCCATAAACAAAAGAATAATAATATTCATGCTTGTATTTTTATCATGTCGAATTAAATACAAACATATGTAAGTGGACAAAGTAATAGCAACATGTATAAATAAACATGGTCCAAAATCATAACAGTCCAAAAATATAATTTAATTCAAATTGCGTACAATTTTTTCTGATTCCTTTTAACACATTGTGGTATTCGGACATTTAAGGCACAAATAATAAGCATATATCACATCTTCCCTTCGACCTAAGGTGGTATATGTTTGTGCATTTTTAATATTTGCATATAACATACAAAAAGAAAATATTTTTATAAAAATATATAAAAATACTTATAAAAACAAGTAAAAACGTTTCAGTCGGTATAAACCGATTGAATTATACCCTGCATCTTTCGTTATTGTATAGCAATTACACGAACCTGTGAAACCATTCTATAGAAACTTCACGAATATGTCTGACCTATAATTAGACACTCGACTGCCAAGTTTCATGAATTTGACTTTAAAATTTTTCCAAATATTTAAAATATGTTTTTGGACTTGTATGGGAGCTACTCGAACCTGTCAAGCAATTCCACCAAAGCTGCAGAAATATGTCTGAGCTATAATTGGACACACTTCTGCCAAGTCTCATGAATCTAACTTTATTATTTTTCCAAATATTTAAAATAAGCTTTTACACTTGTATGGGAGCTACTCGAACCTCTCAAGCAATTCCTCTAAGACTTCAGAAATATATTTGACCTATAACTCGACACACAACTGCCAAGTTTCATGAATCTGATTTTATTATTTTTCCAAATATTTAAAATTAGCTTCTGGAGTTGTATAGCAGGTACCCGAACCTGTCAAGCAATTCCTCTAAAACTTCAGAAATATATTTGACTTATAATTAGACACATGACTGCCAAGTTTCATAAATCTGACTTTATTATTTTTCCGAATATAAAAAATTTGCTTTTGGAGTCGTATGGCAGCCACCCGAACCGGTGCAGCTATTTCATTATAATTTTTAGAGTATGTGTAGAATATAATTGTACACATGTATACAAAATTGTATATTTATAGCTTTATTAGTTTTTGAAATATTTAAAATAAACTCTTGGAGTTGTATGGCAGCTACCCGAACCCGTTGTCCGAATTTGTCCAATTACAATAGGGTTCGTCCTTGGCACAAAAGAAAAAACTTGTGAAAGTTTGGTGCCGATTGCATTTTTCGTTTTTGAGTTATCGTGCGATCGGACGGACGGACATGTCTAAATCGACACAGAATTTTACGCTGAGCAAATATATATATATATATATATATATGTCCATACCGCAGATGATTCCTTCAAGTAGTTACAAACTCAGTTACAAACAAAGTTAATACGAGTATACCCTTCACGAGGTGCAGGGTATAATAAAGCATGGGAATAAATATTGCAAAAATTTGGAAAAATAAATTTTATCTGTTGATAATATTGTACTCGTATAATATTAGATTCATTTTCCGAAGAATGTACTCACATTTAATTTTAAAAAAACTAAGTGTATTCAGTATGTTATATTAAAAGAAACAGAATTTTAAAATTAGGAATTAATTAAAGTAAGTAAAACTGGTTAAAGAATTAAATAGTGGAAACTGAATTTCTTATGCTTTATTCTATAGTATTCCTTTGCTGCAGTAGAAGTGTACTTGCATACTATATGTTATATTTTAATCAGACACTACTAATTGTGTTATTAAACTTACTTTTTCATAACAACTATATTTTATACTGTGAAGAAACATTGTACTATAAACTTTAATTTTAAAATTACAGAATTCTACAGTAACTTCTTTCAGTTAACATGTTAAATTTTAGTTAGTTGAAAATACAAACTTAAAATTCATATTTTTCTTTGACAAGACATACGTTATGTAATGTAGGGCGGAAATTCTCCATATTCGATTTTACATTTTATGTTGTATGAATTTTATATGTAAAAATAGGAAAGTCGGTATAGGAAGAGACTAATCGTTAACTTATTTGCATCTATACGTTTTTACATTCACACACTTTATTGATTGAAAGCATTCCTCTTTTATTGTAAAATAAAAAACTGTTTAAAAATAAAACAAAATGCAACTTTCTTTTTCCATATTT